CCAAGGCACAGTGGCCTCGGCTGTGCCTGTCCACTTATGGAGAGGCCATCTGCCACATGTTCCCATGACTGAGCTCCTTTCTTCCAAAAAGGAAAGGAAAATGTCTGGCAATTGAGAGCTTAGCCAGGGAAGGTAGACTTGGGAAGTGCACTTCTCACATCAAAGCTCCTCCTGGCTCAAAGAGAATTTCTCATAGGACACATCTGAGACAGGGACTCTACTTGTGTCTGGGGAGGGAGGAGAACTTGAGATGGGGAAATCAAACTGTCCAGGGTAAGCCACTCACTGCTGCATCTGCATCCTGTGTCCCTTCACCCTGAGACTCAAGCCAAAGAACCTTTTCAAATTGTAAACTATATTTGGACAAAAGCGTGTGCATAGGAGATGCTGGATTTTTTTTTTTATTTATTCATTCGACAAATATTTGGTGAGAATTGAGTAGGTGTTTTTAATCCCCCTCCCTCTGCCAAGGTTACATATTATCCTCAATACCACCTCACTACAACATAGCGGACAGGTGGCAGAGACAATCTTTTGACATTGGTTTTTGGCATAAAACTCTTTTGACTGCAAGCAACTTGCTTCTTCGCATAAAGCATTCAAGAAGCATGGAGTACATGGATGTAATGAAAACAGGAAGGCTGCTTTTCTGTTATTGTTTCATTGTTGCTGTCTTTGTTTTTCCTGGACACACATTTGTATTCCATCCCTCTCCCTGCTCTCTTCAATGTTTGGGGGCACTGGAGGAGAGAGGGAGAGAGAATTCCCCAGCTGAAGACTGGCAGATGTAGCTGGAGGGCCCCTGGGACTCTAGTTGCAAGAAAAACTAGATAGTAAAAATCCAAAGATGTTATTTTTTAAAGGCAAAATAGTAATTTTTCAGAATCCTGAGGGAGAAACCAGACATCTCTGTCTCTTTCTCTGTCTTTGTCTCTTCCCTCTCTGGCTGTCTCTCCTCGTTATCTCTCTCCTGTCTCTCTTTTAATGTTATCTCTGCCTCCTTATTTACATATTTACGTATTATCTATTTAACTATCTCCCTACCTATTTATCTTGCTGTCTTTATTGTTCCTCCATATCCAGGTTCTTTTTACTCCAAGCAGACAGATGTATTGAAGTCTTAAATATAATCAGGAATACAGGGAGGGAGATAGCTCGGGGGCTAAGACACTTGCACTACATACACTGGACCCAGGTTCCATTCCTGATAGCACATGGCCACTTAGAACAATCACTAGGTATGGTTCTGGGAGGCCTTGAGCATTTAACAGGGCAGGCCTGATGGTCTCTGACCCTTGCACTAAACTCTCTGGCAACACTGACTGTATATCATACCAGAAATAACTCCTAGGACCCCTTAAGCACTGCTTAGAAGACCCAACCAAAATAAATAGTAGCACTGCACTGTAGCACTGTCCTCCCATTGTTCATCGATTTGCTCTAGCAGGCACCAGTAACGTCTCCATTGTGAGACTTGTTGTTACTGTTTCTGGCATATCAAATATGCTATGAGTAGCTTTCCAGGCTCTGCCATGTGGGTGGGATACTCTTGGTATCTTGCCGGGCTCTCCAAGAGGAATGGAGGAATCGAACCTGGCTGGCTATGTGCAAGGCAAACACCCTACCCACTGTGCTGTCGCTCCAGTCCAAAATAAATAGTAGTAAAATAAAATAAAGATAATCAAGGAGAAATTAGCTTTCATGAGAACCCAATTCTAGCCCCACTTGCAACTATCTTGATGTCTCTTTGTTGAAGTAATTCAATTTACAGAATAGATCCTTTATGAAATTATAAAAATATTACCATTTTGCCTTCACATTGGATGAGGAGAAAGGTGATACTGATAATTAGGCAGCCTAATGAGCTTATCTGCAAGAGAACACACTTTGATGATTCTCTAAAAATGGTGTGTAGGGAAAGATCTCTTCATGAGTTGTGTAAAAGAGAAACTGTTCCTTCTGACCCTGCTACCCACACTCCTTAATGGGGGAGTAGACGCCTATGGCTTTCAGTTTTGCTTTAGATATCAAGGGTACATGATTTGGCCTTGTACACCTCATCTTTTGAAATCAATGCACCTGTACTGGATATTCTTTCTGTGTTTTTTTCCTTTATTTTGTGAATTGATGAGGAAAAAATTCAGAAAAAGTTATGTTCTTTATAAAAAATTCCTACACAGCATATAAATAGAAGAGTTGAGTTTGAACAGTTTATTATTATTTTTGAATCCCCCACCCCCTTGTTTTTTAAACCCTCTTTGTAATTTCTTTTATTGAGTTTCTAAAGAGTGAAATCCAGATTCTTGCATGGGGCCTCAATTTCATTATATGTATGTCCGCTCTATTCACCACGAGTTTGGAGATCCAAAGAAGTGCTGATCCTGTGTTCTCTCCATGTTTGGAATGCCAGACATGCTACTGGTCACTAGAGTCCTCTACTGGACTAAACATAAATCATCAGATTATAATTAATGTATTTATTTTGGCTCTTTTGATAGTATTTCACTATGCAAACTGTTTTCAAAAATAAACAAGGGACTTTGGAGCTTTGAATGGGCTCCATATTCTTCTGCTCCTGAATTCCATGATATCTTTTTTTTCAGATAGCATCACAGAAACCCAAGTCTACTTCTACTTGAGTCCAGCTCTTTCTGTTTATGACAGTACTGTCTGAAAGTGTTTTAAATGAGTGCTGATATCACAATCAGCTTTGATTCAACCACTTAGAAAGAAATTGATCCCTAAAAGTAGAGTATTTTTTTCTCTTGACTCTTATTTTACTGTGTGCACTCCTTTATGACATTTCAGCAGCTCCCCTAGAGGTTTCCCTGGTTGGGACAATCTTTTCTGTGTTACATGTGGCAAGTCAGAGGTTGAGAAGTGAATCTAGTTGTTCTAAGCTACATTGCTAATGTAAGGAATGGACATCAGACCCTGGACTTCACCTCTAAATTCAGTGTCTTCTCCAGAGCTCCACCCTATGGTTTTGGAATAAATAAGGAAATAATGTCCTATATCAATCAGGGACCATGTGCTCTTCCTTGTCTAATATAGATATATTTTTCCCCACAATTGTAAATATCACAGGGACATGATCCTAATAGCACGTTATCACTCTCAAAGAACATGGTTTAGAACATAAATTGTAAGAACACACTAAGAAATTTAGGGGAATAGGAGCTTTCCATGTTTCTTAGGAGCTTCAGAAAGAACTCCTGAAAGCAGCCCAGTGGATTATGGATTAAAGTGAAGATTTTTTTTTCTTTTTGGGTCACAGCCGATGATGCATAGGGGTTACTCCTGACTCTGTACTCAGGAATTACTCCTGGTGTTGTTTGAGGGACCATATGGCATGCAGGGAATCAAACCCGGGTTGGCCACATGCAAGGCAAATACCCTACCTGTTATGCTATCGCTTCTGCTCCAAAGTGAAGATCTTTAAAGCAGAAACTCACACAGGAAGGAGAATTTAGTTTGGACAGGAGAGTCAGTAAACTGAGCATAGACTACCTGACATTCGAATTATTGAAGGGATAACAGAAAACCAGAGAAATGATTGAGGTGCTTGTCTTGCATGTAGGCAACCCCAGTTTGATCCCTAGCATTCCATAGTGCTTCAAGTCCCTCCAGGGATGACTTCTGAGCACAGAGGAACCAGAAGCCCATGAGTACTACCAGATACAAAATACCAATCAACCAGTAGTCCCTGAGCACTACCAGGTGCGAAATACTTAGTAGCACTCTTTGTTAGTACTAAATTTTACAACCCCAAATAAATAATAAAACAAATAGTCAGGGTTATTTCTTTTAGATTAATCCACCCAGATTTCTTCTTTTTCTAGTTCTGTGTTGATATATCCAATACATGCCTTTAGGTCTTACCTGCTTAGAAGGCATTCTTGCAATTAAATTACAATCACTGCAGTCAGTTACAGCTTTAAAATGTCCTAAGCAGAAACTATTGCAATAACTTGAATTCTGAGGGCGTTTAGGATCTTAGTGGGCCTTTAACTAAAATGTTTAGCCATTTCGAGATATCATTAGGAGCTTAGGACATTAGATAAAACCTTAAGTGATGGAATTCTGAAATCCTGGCAGTCTGAGAGAAGGGCTTCACTACAGTGATGATTGAGTCTGGAGAGAAAAGAGACTTGTCTAAACTAACAGAGCCCTTTAATTACAGACCTAAGACTGAGGTCAAACTCTCCTGTCTGTCAGTCCACTATGAATCCCCCACATTGTGGCCCCACGCCTCAGTTTTTGGCTTGAAAGTTGTATAGTATCAAATGATGCACCAGAACTTAGGACAGGAAAAGGCTGTGTTTGAAATGAGGCTCTGATATGAACACTGACTATGACATCATGACCTTGAGCAAATTACTAACACTTGTGGGTCCCATTTTCCTCCTAATATGGAAGAAGAAAGTCTTCATTTGAATCATAATACCTTATTATAGCAACAAGATAAGGTTTCCCTTGTGAATTTTTGTGTATATGTGTATATGGTAAAAAGGAACAGATGATGTCCACACACTCTTAACAAAATATTAAGTGTACATACAGATTATTAACTACAATCACAAAGCTGCATAGCGGCTCTCTAGCATTTATTCATTTGGAATAATTGAAACTTTAGACTCAGTGAATAGCAGATCTCAAATCCCAACCATTCCACCCTCCTCCCCACCCCCTGGTAATCGCCAGAATTCTCTCTCCTGTGAGTTTACTTTATAGCCATTGTATGAGTGTTTTCATATTATATTTTCCTTAAAGTGTCCAGGGTTCTTTCAAACAGGATAATAACCTCTAGTTTTATTATGTTGTTTCTGATGATGGATTTTTTTTTAAAGGCATAGTAGTAGTCCACTGTGAATATTGATGATGGGCTTGAAAAAGTGGAATGATTTTTTTTTCTGGCCTGATTCCACAGCGGCTGGTGATAGATGAAACAGAGACCAAATATCTAATTTTTCTTTCCCTTTTCTGCCCATCTCATACAGATGAACCCAGCCGGTGCTATTTTCATGATGGAGATGGGGTGTGTGAGGAGTTTGAACAAAAAACTAGCATTAAAGACTGTGGTGTCTACACTCCCCAGGGGTTCCTGGATCAGTGGGCATCCAATGCTTCTGTATCCCATCAGGACCAACAGTGCCCAGGCTGGGTAATCATTGGCCAGCCAGCAGCTTCCCAGGTAAGATATTTCCTACAGATATCTCAATTTCTGCTTTTCTCTCAATGGCAATATATTGCCCACCTCAAAGGCAATATAGTTGATTATAGTCACCGGACCTTCTATTTGGCTGAATGTAATGTTCACTGTCACTGTATCACTGTTATCCCATTGTTCATTGATTTGCTTGAGTGGATGTCAGTAATGTCTCCATTCATCTCAGCCCTGATATTTTAGCAGCCTCTCCTTACTCATCCTTCCAAACAGTGCCGTATTGGAGGCTCTTTCAGGGCCAGGGGAATGAGACCCATTATTTGTAATGTCAGGGCCTTATAAACACCATTTATCTATTAGCTGCAGATAGTAAAGCAAAAACATTAACATGATATTGGGAATAACTTTCCTTTTCTTCCTCTACCTACCTTTCCTCCTTTTCAGAGTTGGGAAAATATTGATAAACACGAATGATGGAATAAGAGCAAATTTGGAAAGATACTTTACTTTTTTTGGGGGGGATGCCTAGCTGTTTTCTTCTTAAGTTCTCTTCAATAAGTCAACAATGACTACTGAAAATTTGCTTTGTGGCCTTGGAATAATCATTACAACTCTCTGAACTCCATATTTGGGTCACCTTTCAATAAAAGAGTAGTTGTGCTTGGTGATCTCCAAGGACCTTCCCAACTCTAAAAAGCTGTGACTCATTCCTCAGTCCCCTAATGGCACTATTTATGCCCCACGGTTGTTCCCCATGGGACTGTCATCTTAGTTTGAGGGAGTAAGAGTGTTGGGGCCACTAGAGCTTGTGTGATTCTAGGGATGGCCGTACTGTCCCCAGAGCCTTCTTTCCAATTATCCTGCTGAGCAAGCACCTGCCTTCTTCCGAGACTCCCATTTCCCAGAGATACAACTCAGTGCTTCTGACCGCTGGGCCTTGTGTCCATCTCTGAGGCTATCTTGCCTACTGGCCCTGCAGATGAGTCATTATTCCTAGCCATTCCTCTCCTAAGATTGCTTTCCTGACTCAGGGTTGAGTGGAGTAGGCCTGGTTTCCAGGTGAGAGAATTGTAACCTGCCAGGGTTCAGTGAAAAATCTTTAGATGAGGGACAAGATAAGCTCCCTTGCTTCTTAATTTATGACTTAGTGTTTATCTAATCATTTTTCATCTGTCTGTTTATGTTTGCATATATTATTTACTCATTTGCATTTTGTCCTTAACTGCCCTAAAGAGAGTTGAAGGAAAGCACATATTTTCTGATGCTTCTCATGTACAATGTCAGTCTGGTGAATGAATGAATGAATGAATGCAGTCTGATATTCATCCTCCCTATGCCACCTCTATGGTTCTTAATTCACCTTTGGTTACACTCTGCTTTCAATTATGTGTGTGTGTGTGTGTGTGTGTGTGTGTGTGTGTGTGTGTGTGTGTGTAGCTCCATGTTGCATGCAGTTTCTTATTTCTTCTCTGAAAACTGTCTTAAGTTTTATTCATCTTTGTAAGTCCCCTCACAGTCAAGCGCAGAGTCAAGAAAAGAGTAGGAACTCAGGAAGTGGTTTTGATTTATCATAGGCACACACACACACACATGCCCATGTTGCTATGTGCAAACACAGAGAGGAAAAAATGAAAAATTGCCTCTAGGACATAGAATTCCTGCTTCAGGAGTGGTGACAAATAGAACCAAGAATTCCAAAATGCAACACTAGCATCCAGTTCCTAGAAATGTTTTTAAAACATCATTCAAACAAGAGAATTATTAAAGCACTCAGAATCTCACATGAACAAGAGGTAGCAGCTGTGCTGAGAAATCACCCAAAGGTTACTGCTCCAAATGTGAGAAAAGGAGAGAAAGAAATTTCCAGCCTTTGAAAAGAGACTTCTTGGGGCAATTATTCTAGTCTTGCAAGTAGGAGGCTGTCAGGAATTATGGGTGATTATCTCTTCCTAAACAAAAATCCAATTTAAAAAATCATTATAAATACTAGCTCTTCGATCTACAAAGAAGAGAGGAGGAAACAAAATCATCCTATTGAATTATTCATTGTAACCAATTTTATTTTAATGAAATCGACTAGGTTCCATTACTCTAGGCTTGGACATAATCTTTGTTACAAGGAGACTTCAGCTGTAACTAAATTTGCCATAATGAGATCACCTCACTGGAGAATACAGGGTCAGGGGAGGGAATGTGTGCTGCTGGGTGCAGGGCCAGGCAGGCGGTCTGAAGGGTGGCAAAACAAAGATCTCCCAAATTCCTAATCTGCAAGCACATACCTAGATGTTATCAACACATTGCACCCAACACCCTAACCCCATCATGCACTTGCACACACACACACACACACACAATGCTTGGGTGATTCTGAGTTGAAACTCCTCCTGAAATGGAAATGGAGTTCCCTTTTGACAACAGAGGAGAGGAGGAAGTATTTTCATTACCTTGCTCAGTGATTAGAGGAAGCTGGTAGTTAATTTTCACCCTGTCAGGACTCTAGTAAAGAAGTTGATGGCTTGAGAGAAAGAGTTAGAAAGCTCTTAGATGCTCCATGTATTCCTCACCTTCCACATAATGCAATTAATGATATTCTCTTTCTCCTTATCCCTCCCCACCTCTGTTTCTCTCTCTCTCTCTCTCTCTCTCTCTCTCTCTCTCTCTCTCTCTCTCTCCTTTCACACACACACACGCATATGCGTGCACACACACATTTATACAGGAACATACCATGTAGTAGCATAGATCCGGAGCATGACAACCAGAACATGCAGAGGCAAGTGGGTCAGAGAGCTAATGGTTATAGAAATCCGCCAGCCCTTCTACTGGATATTCACTGGCACCTCATTACCAATTCCTTTGCCATTCTTCAGAGGAAGACTTGTTAGCTATCTAGAGCAACCAAAGAGTGACTTTCCCAAAGTCACACAGCCTTTACACGGAGAATCTTGGTCTAGGAGGAGTTCACCAAACATGACACTGAGAACTCAGTAACATGTACTCACATTCAGAGATTAAAAGTGACTCTATCCCTGAATCACATCTCTGGGAAGCAAGTAGAAAAAAATCACAGAGGGCCAGGTCTTAGTGCTCACATCACTGTGTAGAACCTACAAGGTACTGAAATTTTCCTTGAGGAGACTGCTTGTCTACTTTCAATCCCATGGGTTGCTAGTATCTACTAGGATGCTGCATTAACTTGGGGAAAGGGATGAGATGACTAGTGATTCTAATTCCCTCTTTACAAACAAGTTTGTTTCTTTTCTCTGCCTTTTCTGATGCCGTAAAAAATATATAGATGTTTGTGTGCTGAGCAATTGTGTCAGATCCCCTCACGCACCCCACCCCCCTCCCCCAATGAAAAACTCCACCTCTGACCTTGGTAGTGTGAAAAACTTAGGTATAAGGAGTTGTCCTATCGGAATAAGTTGGCAGGTTCTTCTGTGACTGCTGAAGGAAGCAGCACTAAACTTCACTTTCGATTTTGTGTAAGCCCTCTATTTCTAATAGTTTCCAGTCCCTCGACTCTATTCTCTTCACACAAGATTCCCAAATTTGGTTCGGGCTAAACTACTCCACCCTGAACTTGGGGTCTTATATCCAAATGTTATCAGACATATCAAAACTTCCTGGTGCGCACATGGGGCTGAACATCCTCTATTAAGAAACATTCTTTGGATATTTTGGCCACGCACCTTCCAGGCCCAGCTGGAATTCAAGAAGGCCCTGAGACAGAACAAAAATGGAAATGAACCGAAAGGATCACGTTATCTCTCTTCTGGGAAGCTCAGAAATGGTTAGGTTTAAGTGCTTATAAAAAAAAAATCTCGTCTGGTCCTTATTTTTGTCTCCATGTTTCGCATTTCTCTAGAGCTTTCCACCAAAGGCTGCCAAAATGAGATGTAGATAGTCCTTGATCCTACCTCCACCCCCAGAATTTCTACCAGAATCCATTTCCTCCTTTCCAAACAGGCACCTCCCTCCTTCTACAGTGGACGAAGGAAGAAACTGAAATGCTATCTGGAATGTGTACTGCTCTCCCAGAAATTACAGACCTTCAGTCAACCCACCAATTTATTTGGTTAATCCTTTGAGGGTAAAACTTAGACTAAGCATTTCCAAGGCAACTGTTTCAGGGCCAAAGTAAAGAAAACCTTTCTAAGAATGAGAACTCTGCTGTAGAGTGGAGTGCCTTATGATCAAGTAAACTCCCTATCACAAGGCATCCAACCTTGAACTGGTGACTGAACAAGAGATCCTGTGTTAAAGGCAGATCCAACATGACCGTCTCTCCTTTCTTAGAAATGATTCTCTGACTTTATGCAGACATGCATCTCTTAATGTCAAAGATGTGTATTGAGCAATATGCCAGAAGTGAGTTCACCATGGTGCAAATATCATGGAATATTCTTATACAAACTTAGAAACCTACTATAAGCCTAAGTTCTCTGTATAGGGGCCACAACAGTTGTATGCTCTGTTGCTGATCATGATAGTTAGGGAACATGACTATATTCCATAAATTCGTTACTGGAATTGGTTATATATCTCCTTTACCACTTCATTTTGTTTGCTATGACCTGTTCCCTGAAGTACCTCTATTAAAACACAAACTATAATGCAACCTTCACCGAGGAATGAAAGCACGTAGAGAGAGATCATGAATATCATTGAGTAAAATCAATATTATGTAGACGTGGTTCGCCCTCATAGCAGCATCTTTTTCTTTTCTTGGAGCAAATGTGGTCTGGATAGCTCTGAATCCTCCTCTAGAAAGTCCTGTCACTGTCACTGTCCTCTGTCCTCCCGTTGTTCATCTTTGAGTGGGTCCAGTAACATTGTGAAACTTGTTACTGTGTTTGGCATATCAAATATGTCCGAGCGGGCCCAATAACATTGTGAGACTTGTTACTGTGTTTGGCATATCAAATACGTCATGGGTAGCTTGCCAGGCTTTGCCATGCAGGCAAGATACTCTCGGTAGCATTCCGGGCTCTCCGAGAGGGTAGGAAGAATCGAACTTGGGGTCA